TTTCATATGGTTGGTAGTTTTACTGTTTTTCTAGGTTCGTTTGCGAAACGTGTTTGAGGCTGAAGCAGATGAAAAGGCCAGAAAATCGTTTCACAGCGAAAAGTAACTTCTGCTATTTTTTGTTCCTGTAAATCATGAAAATTTTAAGGGTTACCTCATTCAAAACTATCTTTTCATATCGAAAACCGGGTTAACACCTACCTTAAAAAGAAAGATGTTGGTGCCGGTGAAGTGATAATTCGCGTATTGACTAGCAGCGACAAAGAAGTTGAGGTGAAACAGCATATGAGAAATAAGTACGTCTCAGCGTGTCGCTTTTTCCTCCTGATGCACATTTTCTTTGAACAGGTTCTGTGGAAGTGGAGAAATCCCCGAGAAGTTTCCGTATCGATCGAAGGCGATTTTTGCCTTCGAAGCGTTGGATGGAATTGAAATCTGCTTTTTCGGTCTTCACGTACAAGAATATGGAAGTAACTGCCCTCCGCCAAATTCAAGGTTTTTTGTATTTGTTATTTACACAAAATTCAGAACTTGCTTTCATGTAATTGTTATAGGCGCGTTTACATTGCGTATTTGGACAGCGTACACTTTTTTCAACCAAAGCAGTTTCGAACTGCCGTATACCATGAAATTCTTCTCGGTTATCTCGAATACGTTAAGCTTTTGGGGTAAGGATTGATTTCACAATGCTTCATTCTTTATCTCGGCACTCAGGTACTGTAATGCCTATTATTGTTAAAGGTATACGATGGCGCATATTTGGGCCTGTCCTCCAAGCGAGGGGGACGATTACATTTTTCACTGTCACCCACCCGAGCAAAAAATTCCTAAACCTAAAAGGCTGCAAGAGTGGTACAAAAAAATGCTCGACAAAGGCATCGTCGAACGAATTGTTGTCGACTATAAGGTAAAATTGAGTCATGTGTGCAGTTTCTCTTACATAATTTTTTTTATTTTGCAGGATATCTTTAAACATGCACAGGACGATCACTTGCAATCAGCAACCGAACTGCCATATTTTGAGGGTGATTATTGGCCAAACGTTTTGGAGGATTGCATTAAGGAACTCGATGCCGAAGAGGCAGAACGTAAGCGAGAAGCCGAAGCAATGGCGGCTGCCGATGCTGCTGATGAAGTAGATGAAGAAGTAGACGAGGTATTTTCTTGGATGCTGCAAGTAGATTCGCATCTTCGGGTTTATTCTGGTTTTATAATCTTAGCTTTTGGTTGTAGAGGAGGCTAGCTTGAGTGGTTCTGTTTTGTGCATCTGATGTTTTATTAATCTCAATTTCTGGCGAAAAACGCAATAGTGGAAGTCGAAGATTCGTAGTTTGAGCAGGATTGATTCCATTCGATCGACGTTACTATAGTTAATTTAATCTCCTTCATGCTGACCTCAGGTGTCAGACTTCTGTCAGCAGTTCTTATATTGTTTTATTTATGGAATAAGCATTCTAACTAAGGCCGTTTTCGCTTAAATGATTAACTAAGAGGATAGTTTTATCATTTTTTGTTGACATGAAAAGTGAAAGTTGTAAGTTCTGTGTTTGAACAGGCTCTTATCGTACAGATGTATGCTTTTCAGGGAAAGTAATGAATAAAGCTACAAGTTAAAGCAGCACAAATGCAAGCTGACGTCTTTCAGCTTCTCAACTGTGTTCGTTGTAATCATAACCTTGAATTGTTTGCATAATGAGCGCGTTTCTAGATTGTGATTGCTGCTTTTTTGGCAGAATTTTAATGCCTACGCTATCACTTGCCGGCATTTGCATTATTCAAGAAATGGTTCCACTTAATTCGCAGATCTGTCAGAGTTTTTACGATTATTAGGCGGAAAGTGATCAAAATCTTAACAAAAATAGTTTATTCGTTGTTTACTTAAGTTCTTTTGCTTTTACGGTACTCACAGGAATTGCTGCACAATGTAAACATTTGATCTAAAATTGCAGTTGTACAGCATAAGGTTAGATAGGCAAGAATTCACAAGAAGATTGCATATCTTATTTCTTGGTCATTTTGTAGTATTCCAGCATTTTTAAAAGTAATGTCGAAAGGTTTCTCTGAGTCGGGAATTAATGTTATTTTTTGTGTTGAAATTAGTGGGAATTTCCGTTTCACTACTGTTTATAAAACGACTTATTCTTGTAAATTGAGAAATAGGAAGCTCTGTCTGACTTGTCTGTCTCCGCGGCTCGAAAGGAGAAGCGGCCATTGAAGATGAAGATAATGATGAAGATGGGAGAGATTTACTATTAAAACGAGTACATTTAAAACTGCGTAGCAAGTTCATTAAATAGCAGTCACTTAATGTACAGGAGAATAAGAATGCAGTTGGCGTTCAGACTTTCGCGAGCATTTCACAGAATAGCATTTCATAGAGCCTCTGAATCGTCTGCCCTGAGATTTTTGAGGCTCAGGGAATGGCCTGACACTGCAACTGAGTTTTGACGCTGATGAAATAACTTTTCTGGTTGCCATTTGGGATTTGGATTAACTGTGGCTTCCTAAAGTTCGGCAGCATAGTTATTAGAAACTCGCACAGTTTTGAAACGTGACTTTATTTTAGCTCGGCAGTGATAAGCTTTTATAGGCTCATTGATAGTATCGATATATTTCAGTTTTGCAGGAGTATAAACGTTTCATGCTCTATTCCTTTCAGCATAAGTGAAACGTGGCAACATCAGTTTTAATACGTATCTGTGAGAAGGGAGAACGAACAAACAGCATTATAAATGAAACTGTCGACAATATTGCCACTGTTAGCTTAGTAATGGGCAGTCACATGACGTATGAGAATGAAACTGCTTCTAGTGTTCAAAGTTTAGTATGATTTCTAAGTCAAGCTCTGAATTGACAACTGTCAAGTCAGGAATACGAAGCTTCCGCCTCTCGGCATGACGCTGAAGAGCCTGTGCTGGCCATGTGATGAGATGATAACTATAGTTTTGGACCAGGTTTTGGGAAAACCATTGCTCTTGACGTTCCATGCAAATTTCATTTAATGACGTGTACTAGCCTGACATTGCTGCTATTGGGCCAAATTTTTGGTTGAAAGTTTCTGAATTTGTTAGCCTATTTTTCTAGTTGCATGCACTAAAAGTTAAAAATTATTGACAGTGATATATGAACATACCGCCTGAAATGTATGACGCGCGTTTAATATCAGTCGGCTAGAGCACCGATACGCTGAATGAGAAAGTTAATCGCCTTTATGAAGTAAACTGCTTTTCTAAAGGCTCTGTGGCAAGAGAGCTGGTTATTCAAAATCGAGCGATCATATTATTAGTTATATATTTGCATCATGAGCATTAAACATGAAAATTTGATTCGTTTAATGCTGTTGGGCAAAATTTATTTGATCACTAATAAAAATTCACTAATAAAAATCATAATTAAAGTTTGTGATGTGTTCAAATCATGCATGTACTGAATTTGGCACTTTTTCAAAATTTTTTTTATCAACTGTATCGATTTTAAAAGTGCATAATTCAGTAATGTTAAAGTACCTGCAGTAGTAAATTAGAGATAATTCGAATTTTTAAAAGGTGTGAGCAATTTATGCAAATTTCATAT